CTGAAACGAAAAAATACGAAGTTTGGCGACCAGGTCTGTATGTGAACATGTCCACCGCCACCTTCCCGGTGGTCATTTTTTAGAAAATTGGGTAATTAAGCATGTATTACACCCTTTTTGCCAAAAATTCACGTTTTTTAAATTTTTTCTGGTAAATTGTTGATCGAATTGACGTGGAAAAATATACCGTTTTTGCGTTTTATCATTATTTAATGACTCATGAAATTTCATGATCGTGCAATCTTTTTCCTGCGTTTTTCCTAAAACTTTTCGGAAATTCGCAAAACTTTAGAAAAATGCAGGAAAATGATTACACTACCATGAAACTTTGTGAGTCAGTCAATAATGATAAATTGCAAAAACGGTATATTATTTCGCGTCAATCCGATCAATAATTTGCCAGAAAAGTGAAAAAACGTGAACGTTGGCCTAAAGGGTGTAGTACATCCTTAAGTCGCTAAAGTAATTCCAAAAAATCTGAAATTTTGTTAGATCATAGGTGCTAAGAGGACTAACTCTACACTGATAGAACGGTTTAGTAGAACCAAACGAGACTTTTTAACTATTACCGCGATTCGTTAACTACACGGAAATTTTCTAGAAAAATTCTAGTACGAGTACTGGAAAAATTACAATTCATCAGCGGTGAAAAATTCTAGTACTATTAAGGTAAAATTTCTTGGTATTTCTGGCAAAATTTCTGTGCAATTTTCACAAAAATAAGGGGAAAAATTCATGTTTTCCTCAATAAAATTTCTAGTGCCGGCACTGGAATTTTTTCCTGGCCGTCACTTTGCGCCTCTTTTCCCGTGCTAGCACTAGAATTTTTCTAAAAAATTTCTCTCCGTGTATTAATAACGAATCGCGGTAACAGTTAAGAAGTCTCGTTTGGTGCAACTGAATCGTTCCACCTTTTCTATCAGTGCATGCAAAATTATTTCGAACAACGCAATTGCTCACTTGTTTTCATTCGCGTTAGAAAACCAGTGAAAATAGAAAATCCATGAAAATTATTATGAGCTTCTACTCTTCGATTATTGTTTGGAGTTACGCGTTATTCACAAAATTAGAGATGAGCTGCGATGCACGAACTAGAGGGCACATTGTCGACGTACGTAGGGGGTGTACTGTGACCAATGGAGCACGATAATATACGGATTTGAATTCATGAATAATTCTGATCCTAAAGCTTTTCCTATCTTCCTCTCTACCCTTATTTTCCAAGGTACTTCCGGGTCAATAGACTCTGATTAAACTAAAAAAATTACTGAATGATATTCATCCTTGAAGCAAACTTATTTTTCACATGAAAGATTCATTCCATCATTGAAATACTTGAGTAGAAAAAATCAAATCAAGTCGGCAGTGAAGTAGTAAATTATCATTTTACTACTTCTAACCACATTAAATTTTTTTTTATTTATCAAATAAATATTGATTTAGATGAAAGAAAAAATTTATTTGATTCAAATAAAGAAATTTTATTTTGTTTTGCGTTGGCAAAAATCGAAACTGTAGGGCATGAACCCACAGTGACGACCCAATCACGCTGGACCGCCTTCTCAGGCGTCGACGAAATTCAAATTAAAATGCGTGAATGACAAATTGAATGAATCACAGTAATTACGTATGATAAATGAGTTAATATTCGACAAACAGCTTGAAATAATTCCCTAAAGCAGCTCGCGTAACCCGAGAACAAGGAAAATTGCATCGACGCGAAGGGAAAATAATATCTCCTGTCTCAATTTAATATAAACAAAAAAATTTAAAAAAAATAAATAAAAAAAATTAAATTTTAAATTTAAATTGAAAACAAACAAAAAAAAGAACAAAAACAATTTTTTATTCAATTTTTTAATTTTTAATTTTAAATTTAATATTTTTTTTATTTAATTTGAAAAAAAAATTATTCAATGTTTTGTTTATATTAAAACAGAACATAAATAAATTAAAGAAGTATTATATAATTAAATAGTTTGTATAATTTTTTTTCCAAATTAAATAAAAAAAATTATTTAGGACTATTTAAATGAATTTATTTATTTGATTCAAATAAATCATTTTTCTGAGTGTATACCATCATGATTACAAAACTTTGTGTATCTCTACAATCTCAACTAAAAAAATAGAGTGTTTCATTCATTATATACTACTTTCTATTGTTCAATACGTTTCTTTGTTTGCATTTATCTTGTTGCAATGTTTTCGAACTTCCGAGGGCGAAAAAAATCCGAATAGGAAAATAACATTGTTCTCCATTCTCCCTCTCCGTCCAATAAACTCCGTTTAGATGATACGGTCTAGCGTTTGACAGTGTACAGACGAATTTTTTTTTTCCCGATAAAATACGTACGTTTATTTTGTGTAGGAAATAGTGACGAGACAGTGGTACAATAGTCCGAGGGGTGAAAACATATAATAAAAAAAACGGAGAGGAAAAAAGGAGAAATAGCGGATCACAGATGCGACGTTTTATTGACGTATCTCTGTGTGCGCGTTGTGTTTCGCTTTTACCAATACGATTGCTCCATTTCATGGCTGACGTCTACTGCAAAAATGGGGGGAGAAGTGTCGCGATTGACAGTAAAGTGAAGATGAAATGTATCAAATAACAATTGTGACGGTTTTTGATGTATCTATTGGTTGTCTTTATTTGGAGACATGATTTTGTTAACGATTTTCATGCATATTGCAAAAATTTTAAAAGACAACATGTGGTGGGGAGTTCTATATTGCAATGAACGGAAAAAGTAAGGCGGTTTTCATGAGTAAAATCATCTTGCGTCGAATTTTCATGAAGCCTGCCTAACAAATAAATAAACGAATCATAATTGCCCAAATCATTCAGGTCAGACAAAAAAAGAATAATTCTACTTTTTTAATATTGCGGTTACTATGGTTTTATAAACACTAGTAGATTAATTTTGAAACAGGAGAAATCATCAACTTGAGAAGGAGAATATTAACAATATAGGAATCTGGATTTTCTTGATTGCAGAACCCAAATGTTCTGAATTGCAGACCCCTAGAATCAATGAAAATGTGTAAAATAAGAGTTCATTGAAGTACACTTATACTAGATTCAAATAGAAATATCTGAGAATTGGAACTTTTTTGTCTGATTTTGAGAGAAAAGTTTCTTAAAATAAATTAAAAGTTGCTTATTTCCTGGATTTTTTACTCGCTAGATTTCAGTTCTGAAATTCTGATATTTTCACTGGAAATTTTTTTCTCTGTCTAGCTTTCCGAAGAAAATATCTTGAATCCTCTAGCCCATTGAGCTCTAAACCCCGAGTTAAAGAACTTCACGGTAATTCCGATTCTATAGATAAAAATAGAGTGTCTTTGCCTCACACCCAGAGGCCTGACGCTTTTGATTCAAATAAAATCCTTCATTTTTAATTCGCCTGTTCACCTAAACAATTATTTTATGGGGAATTAGTAAACACATGTGTTGATTCCAATGCAGATGTTTCAATTATATGAAATAAACGGATTATTTGATCCAATTAATTATTACATACACGGAGAGAATTAAATAGTAAATATTACCATGGCCATATGAGACATTACTATGGTAATATACTAAAAGGGTTTTCAAACGTCCCTACATAGTAACCCTTACTATAACCCATGGTAATGCTTACTATGTTCCATAGTAATACTTACTATGTTTCATAGTACTACTTACTATGTTCCATAGTACTACTTACTATGTTCCATAGTACTACTTACTATGTTCCATAGTACTACTTACTATGTTCCATAGTACTGCTTACTATGTTCCATAGTACTGCTTACTATGTTCCATAGTAATACTTACTATGTTCCACAGTAATACTTACTATGTTCCACAGTAATACTTACTGTTCCATAGTAATACTTACTATGCCCCATAGTAATACTTACTATGCCCCATAGTAATACTTACTATGTTCCGTAGTAATACTTACTATGTTCCATAGTAATGCCTACCATGTCCATAGAAATAGTTACCATGTGGATAGAAAATGGTCCTATGAACATAGGAAGTACCTCTAAACTAACCGGTTGAAATTCGCAATTGTCTCTTGATGCGTTCATAAACTCAAGACGCTCAAGGCTTAACTCTTTAAGAAAATTGAACAAATTAAACTCATTATTTCAAATTTTCCTATCAAGTTCTACAATATTTTTGTTTAAAATTTGTATATTTATTTAAATAATAAAGCTTTAATCACATGGAATCAATAGTGCATTCGTTAGAAGTAGATAATCAATTAGAAATAAATGAACTATTTATTTGATTCAAACAGAGAATTATGACACATCAATAAATTCTTTTCATTCGCCATGTAAACAATGATTCCACATTTCTAACTAATAGTCTTTACTTGTATGAAGAAAGCAGTTGTTTAAAATGCAACTGCAAATTTAATTTAGGTTTTAATGGGCTTTATTAGGAGCTCTGTGAATAAATCCATTATTTCATTCAGAAACTTAATTTCTCTTTTAGATGGTTCCTACAACAAGAAAATTCTCGCTCTTGAATTAATAATATTTCCGTGTCTAACATTGATCTACTGCTGTTCTATTCCTAGATGGCATTTAATTATTCAGAATAATTTCATTATATATGTTATAGGACATTTTCATTTTCTCCGTATACTAATGAATTCATTCTCTTCCCTGGCTAAACGCTGATTCCGAATCAAGAAAACATTTGCTTATATTTGAAAAACGTATTTATTTAATAGGACTAAAAATAAACTGTACGTTTAAATAAAGCTTCATTACGAGTTATTTGAATAAATCCATTTATTTGATTCAAGTAAAGTTTATTCAATTCAAATGAACAATTTTTCTGGGTGTAGTCACTTCTGGGAATATGTAATATCGATGTCCAAGAGGAACGACCTAGAGTACTCTACCAAAGAATGAATAAGAATATGAGGGAATATAAACACTTGGATAATCTCCTTAAGTAATGTTTTTGTTGCTTTCATTTGTTATTACAGAGGGAGGCGACACAACGCGATGTGGAACGAGAACGGAGACTGCGAATGGAGGCCGAGTCACGTGTACGCGAGGCTACGGCCGAGGCGGAACGAGCACGAGCGAGGGTGCATCACCTCCAGCGTGAATTGGCGAGGTACATTAAATTTCTTCTTAATTAAAAAAATTCGTTAACTCACCCTTGTCGACATCTCTACTGTTTCCCATTAAAATTCTTCTTTGTTTCAGTGAATTATTAGTTTTTCTTCAATTTTTATAATTCTCCGGGTGAAAAAATGGAAATTAAACGGCAATAAAATTTCGGTCATTTCACTCTTTCAATTATTCCTCATTTTTATAATAGGGTAAGCCACCCAGTAGATGGGCACTGCCCTATAGATGGACGAGCTACTTTTGGATAGGAAATTACGCAAAAAAATGTTGAAATGCGAACTGTTGCTTTGAATTTTCACTAACTGTTGTGATTCTTAACCCCTGAATGGCGATTTTTTTTAATCTTTTTTTTTTCAATTGCTAGAAAAACAAACGTCCATCTACTGGGCGGTTTTCTTAGGCGTGCATCTACTGGCCAGTTTACCCTTGATTATAGGAAATACGTTTGTAGAATAGTCCAGAAAACTTCCGCTCGAAAACTTTAGTTGACGATCCGTTTTGCCCCCATACGTCTGGAGATACACTTGAGATCAATTATCTATACACTTGAATTCAGTAGCAAAGTGGTAAAACAGTTTAAGTCGACTTAGCGCTCATCTGAGTTTTTGAGGAATATCTCTGAATCTAAGGGAGATAACGAAATTTTTGTAATTACCTTTTTTGTAGAGCGAATTGAATGCTATAGAAAAAGTCTTATCAAAAATTTTGCTATCTCCCTAAAATTCTGAGATATTCATTGAAAACTGGCAAATAGTCGAAACCGACTTAAACCGTTTTACCACTTCGCTACTGAATTGCAATCGTTACTGGAAATGAAACAAATTTCTGACAGTGTATTGAACGACTTCTCTTTCTCAGTGTGAGCATAAAATTATTTACCAGGAGATTTCACGATTCTAGAAATGAACAAGACAATATTTTTTTCCATCAAGAAAATCTTTGTCAAAACAAATTTTTTCGCTCAGTACAAGAATTGCACCTGTATTAAGGTAATAAAAAAATAAATCTCAAAAATTGGTGAAATTGAGGAAATAAATTTGGAAAAAAGCCTCATTTATCAGCTTGCAATAACCGACGATAGGCTGCGGTAAATCATCGATATTAGTCTCCTCTCCCCCTTCCCACCCTAACACCCCCTCCTTTAACCAATAACATTGGCCACCGAAACCGATGAATGGTAGATTCCCCTACTACGGCGATATTATCGAAATACCTCTGGAGGGTGATACAAAAACACCCGGAAATTAGATGAGAAAAAAATTTTCGACCTTGGCCCTGAGGATAACATTCGAGGGGTGTGTCCCTGATAATCGATGTGATGTGTATATAACTTGTTCCTTATTTCCGTATGTTTTTACGTCGAAAAGTCAATTCACTGAGAAAACACAAAAACCGAGAACTAAACTCGAGAGATAAAGTCTTCATTATTTTTTCCAAAATAAAACCCTGTAGGATCCCCCACCGCAATAATTCCATCGGTCAAAATCGTAGGGGAAGAAATAATCCGATCGATACCCCTTGAGCTTTGAAATGAATCGGATAGGCCTCTCTAAATTCCCTGCACGGAGAGAAATATTCAATAAAAATTACCTATCTTTTCCGTAATTCCGGAGCGAAATGTGGTTGTAGGAAATTTTACGGAACTGTCACTGAATTTTACCAGAGCGTTCTGTAATTTTTACCTGAATCTCCTGTGAAAAATTACAATAACATCAATTAAATTTTCTGAGTCGATTCCGTAATCGGTGAGCGAACTGTGAGTTCCGTAATTTTTACAGAACATTTCTCTCCATATGTATAAAAATGATACCAGAAAAAAAAGCTTCTACACTGACAGAAAAAATTTGTTCTGTCAAAAGAATTTTCAAATAAACATGATTTCATAGTGACTACTGATTTCTTTCTAGCCAAAAGTTTGCCAACTCCAGAAAGTCGTTGGTTTACTCAAAAATCAAAATTATTCTCATGACTAAATACGTTGTTATCTCAATCAACACGATCATACGTTGTTCCAAGTAAATTATAATTGAAGTGAGCATTTCGTATGTTGAACAGGAGGAATATTGCTACGCGGAAAAAGCTTTGAGATTGTAGTAAGATGTCGTTGAGTTGAAAGAAGTTTATATTTCTTGACTTGAAAAATCGCATTAGCTTGCAATAACAGAATCACAGATTACGGCAATTCTACACAAACTTGGATATCACAAATTTCGTTCAATGTGATATCCAAGTTTGTGTAGAATTAGAGATGTACAGAAAGCTCAATTTAAACATCGACTTCATTCGAGAAAACAACATTCAATTCATTCCTCAATGTAATCATCTCCCAGGTACGAATTTTTGACCAATTAATGGAAGTCGAAAATTTCTCGACTGGAGGTTACATTAGGTTTAAAAAAATTGAATTTTTCCATTTTTGTGGTGGATACATGTGACTTGACGCCAAGGACTGTTTTATTTGATTCAAGTAAATGTATCTCAAGAAGAAATAGTTGATATTCGCCGTAAGATCTTATTTATTTGAAATTAATTCAAGTATGTAATACTTGTTCCAAGAAAGAAAATCTTAATAAATAGTATATTATGTCACCAGGCGATAAATATCGCCGATAATTATCGCCGTGTGGCATACGATATTTTATGTCGTATGGGCCCGAAAACCACGATCTAGCCGAGCGAAGCGAGGTTAGAATCACGGTTTTTTCGGGCCTAACGACATAAAATAATTTTTTCTATCAGTATAGTTTCCACTGAAAACCTGTGGATTTTAGAAATCCGTTGTCCTAACATCTGGCGAACATAAAATTCTAGAGATTAATAAAATTCCCGCAGACGAAATAATTCTAATTGTTAGTCATATTGGGTTAAATCTAGAATAATTTTACTTAAATTAAGACGAATTTCCTCTTATTTCGAGAAAAATTGGTTGTTGACTTCAGAACATTTGGGTTCCCAAATTAGAAAGATCTCGCTCTGGAATTTGTTTTTCCCCTTGAAAATTAATCTATTCATGTTTCACCTATCCTTCAACATCTCTGTAATTCATAATTCTGTGTTGATGTCATTTACAAGCCATTCAAACCGTGTTACCCAATAAATTGACTCGATTAATGTTGAATTAATGTTCAATTATTCCAGAATTTTATCTCTTTCAAATGCTCCCAGTTTAAAACCCAAGAGCTCTTAATTCAAGAATCTAACGCTTCTTCATTCAAGAACTTTTTTCTCTTGGAATATGTAGATTTTTGGTACTGAATTCTCGAGATTTTTTTTCTGAAATTGAGGATATCCAAGCGGTTCAAGTATTTTTTTTAGGGGGGGGGGGGATCCTCTTCAGAGTTGATAGAATAGATAAAGAGTATTTTTTAGGCGCAATATCAACCTTAGAATTATTATTTTTTTAAACTTCGGTGTTTATAAATAAATAATTGAAATTGATTGAACTCTAGAAACCTTATGTTTTAGGCATGAAATCGATTTTTCGTAAAATCCTGAATATGAATAAATTTGTTACGATTCCGAACAAATAATTTTTATAGAAAAAAATTCAGTAGCGAAGCGGTAAATCGGGTTGAGTCGATTTTGACTTTTGGCCATTTTTTGACAAATATCTCGGAATCTAAGAGAGATAGCAAAATTTTGCTCATTACCTTTTTTATAACCCTCAGTTGACTCTATAAAAAAGGTCATGACGAAAATTTTTCTATCTCTTTTAGATTCCCAGATATTCGTCAAAAACTGGCCAATAGTCAAAATCGACTTAACCCGGTTTACCGCTTCGCTACTGAATTGATCGTTTCTAAATGATTTATAGATAATGCTCATAATTGTCAAAAATTGCACTTTTTAAATTATTTCATCAATCTTTCCCCAAACGTCAACTTTCAAATTTTCACATTTTGAAAATATTTTCTAACGTTTCAATATTACGATTCAAATTCAGACCTACAAAGTTTAAACAATAAAATCATTGTAAAATGTCCGGAGACTTGGGGTCAAATGGGGCTCAAATGAAAGCTTTGATTTCGATTACAAAAGTAGAAAAGCATTTCACTGGGGAAAAAATAGCAGAAGTCCTTAGCTATCCTTAAGTAACCAGTTTCTGTAAAATCAGAAATCCGACACTGAAAACTGGAACTTTTTGAAGCTTTTTGAAGTTACTACACGTATGAAAAAATCGTATGGACATTTTTTATACGAATATTTTCTCTACGAATTATTTCTATACATAAATTTTTACATAAATTTCTGTTTTCATACGAAAGATGGCTAAACGCTCCAGAGAAAAACGTAGAGAAATGTCGCAACTCCATACGAAATGTTTCTATACATGTGGCAGTGGGTCGTATAGAATAAAACCTATAGAAATCGTATAGAAATAATTTCTATAGAAACTATCCGTATAGAAATATCCGAATATCATATACCAAAATCCTATAGAAATTCTATACGCAATCCGTATACAAAATTGCTATACGATTTTTTCATACGTATAATACTGAATGTTTTTCGGCATTTTCTTATGTTTTTTCCTCCATTAGAAAAAGAACATAAAAAATGTCCTCTCATGAATTCTCCGGAGACCCTCTCCATGCAAAATGCTTGATGATAGCATTTGTCAGTGGCAGATAACAGCTAGCGGAAAATATTATGATAGGCGAAACTACTCAATTTGGATAAAACGCTAAAAGCATTTGGGTGACAAACTGATTAGAGAAGATGTAGTTTTGGAAAGGTGTTTGTATGGTTCATCTGTATTTACACATATCCCCGTGGCTTTAACACCACTATAATCAATCACAGGCCAACACCAGAGGCCAGTAATGCCTCAACATGATTTTGTGAATAAATCTGGGGGATAATGAAATCACTGGTGATTAGTCAATGTCTTGGACCGCCGACCGGCGGAACTTAGGGAGTTATTTCATGTCTGCTGTCCTCGGCAGGAGGTTATTAATTATTAACATTTTTCTCAATGGAGTGATGAATCATTAACAAACGTCATAACACTTGTTTAATTTTTCCAATAGTCCGAATCCATCTTCTTTTAGGGAGACAATTCCTGGATGTGAACTCAATGGAAATGATTTCGTGTTTTTCAATTATGCACTGAGAGAAGAAAACAAGCAGCGCGACAGAGGCCATTTGACAGATTATATATGACTGCTACTCTCCACGTATTTTTTTCTCCTGTTTTCATTTCAGTACCGAAGTGGTAAAAGGAGATAAGTCAACTTTTTTAAGTTGACTATTGACCAGTTTTCATTCCGGCGCACTCTGCATGTTTGACACAAAAAAATAATTTTTTGATAATTTTCAAAAAACTATTGTCTTGGCACAAGTAAGACTTGTTTGAGAACTTTGTCGCTTTTCTCTCAGTGTACCACACTTATTTCGCTCCTGAAAAATGTTTCTTTTATCTGAAATACGGCATAATAGTTCTTCGTTTCCACTATCGAATGGTCAAAAATATTGATTATATCGTACCTATCGTGTAACTTCGGAACTAAATATTTATTGATTATCTTCATTTTATGAGAGATATCATAAAATGAAGTGGACACGTTTTCCTCCCCCCTCTGTCTGAGAATCTTAAACTTATTCATAAATAACTAAATCAGAGAAAATAGTATATTTCATTACGAGTGCGGAAAAGAGTTTTTTCTCGCTTTCGGCTCGTGCTATAAACCTCCCACGAGTCAAAAAACACTTTTCCCACGGGTATCGAACGATATTTTTCATCACAATGTGTGGAAAAGGGACGTTTTAGGCACGCGGACCGTGTCTAAAAAGTTACTTTTTCGCACAACGTGATGAAATAGTATATTTCAGCACGTGTGGGGCAATATCGTCTTTAACGTGTGTGGGGTTTACAGCATGAGCCGAAGAAGAGTGATGTAACCACACACGTTAAGGACGAAATTTCCCAACAAGTACTGAACAAAATTTTATGTCACGAAGCCTGAAACCGGCTGAATTAGACACGAGACGCGAAGCGTCGAGTGTGTAATCCAGCCGGTTTCAGGCATGAGTGGCATAAATAAATTTCTTTACATTGCCGTGAAGTTGAATCTTCATTCAGAAAAGATGAGCCTTTTTTTATTCGAAAACTATCACACGGAGAGATATGTTCAGTAAAAATTACGGAGATCACAATTCACTCACCGATTACGGAATCGACTCAGAAAATTTAAGTGACGGTATCGTAATTTTTCACAGGAGATTCAGATAAAAATTACGGAACGCTCCGGAAAAATTCCGCGACAGTTCCGTAAAATTTCCTACAACCACATTTCGCTCCGGAATTACGGAAAAGATACGCAATTTTTATTGAATATTTCTCTCCGTGCAGATTCAATTATTTTCAGAACTTCATTACTTCTAAACCGAAAACTTCGTTAATATAAATTCCAACGAAACAATTTAAATTCCTAACTACTAAAGCTCTCGTTTATTTATTATTCCAGGATGGAGGAAACCTCACGTGGACTATTGCAACACAAACAGAGGGCAGAACAACTCAAACAGGAGAGAACAGCACTGACACTATCTTACGAGGTAAAGAAACCGTAAAAAAAATCATAAAATCGAGAAAAAAACGAAGGCACTTCCCACAACACCCCAGAATGGCTCCATAATCGTAAAAAATAAAAGAAATGATGGGTGACAAAAAATAAGGAAGAGGAGGAAAAAAAATTGCTGATGTCTGTCGGGCACATATCGAACCCCCACCCCTCGCGTGTCATTATGGTCATCTTTTGGGGCAGAGTTAACCCTCCGGAGGGGAAGCCAGAGTGCGATGACACTTGTCTGAGGGGTTTCTTCTTGTCTCGTAAGAAAATAGAATAAAAATGAAGATTGGCAAGCGTAATTTCTGTGCACCAAATAAAAAAAAATTGCAGTCATTTCTGAGGAGTTTTTTGAACATTTTTTCAATCAAAATGGTTCGGAGTTGTCTGAATACAGCTTGATTATTAAGATCATTAAAAACTGCGAGAAATTTTTAGGAAACTCGATGAAATTTGGAAATGTAATTACTCTCTCAATTTTTTTTTGAATAGAATTTTCGAAATTTAAAAAAAAAACGTTGAAAATTTAGGCTGAGGAATTTCTGTAGAAAAAATTGTAATTGAATAAATTAGAAAGAAAAATGAAATTCTATAGATTTTTTCTGGGAAACATTTTTTATTGAATATGAGATTTTATTGAATGCCACAAAAATTTGTCATTGCAGAACACACGCACAAAAAATTATAGAAAAACCCAGCGAATTCGATATGAAAATTCTACTGAACTTCAAATGAAACTCTATTATGGAAAAAATTGGTAGAATTTCATTTTTCTGTACAACTTTTTCTATTGAGACATTTTCTATAGAAATTTCTCGACATGGATTCTCTAATTTTTTTTTCCACTCTATTTTTGTTCTCCTTTCCTTTATTTATATAACAAATCGGTGAAACATTTTTCGTCTCGATTTCGCCCAGTATGTACCAGACTTGGCAATATTTTAAGTTTATCTTAGCTTATGAATAAAAAATACTTATTTTAATAATAAATGTATTAGTCATGTTAATATTATTAATAATAATAATAAAATTCATATATAATAATAATATGTAATAGATAAACTTTATTATTATTTTATACATTTTATATATAAACAAGTATTTTTTATTCATAAACTAAGATAAACTTGAAATATTCCCTTACAACGTGATTTGTTCGTCATGAAATCTTTTGGAGATCATGTCTCAAAATTGTTCTCAAATCTTCATATATTAAAAACGGACATTAACTCCACGTATGACAAAAATTCAATAGAAAAGCCTAGCGCTTTCTCTGAGAAATTCTATTAAATTTCTATTGGAACTCTATAAAAATCCTATTGAAAGATTTTGTTTGATTATTACACCAATTCTATTAAATTATTAAAATTAAATTATTATTATTTATTACCGACGGCGGTGGCTGTGTGGTTAGACTGTGGAATTGGCATGCGGGAGACCCGGGTTCGATTCCCGGCTGGGGGGGCCAAAATTTGTGACACTCTAAATCTCACGGTTTCACTGCCGATCGGGAGTCTCGCAAAAGACAACTGTACCTGAGCAGGTTTTTCCCTCAAATGAGATTTTCCCTTGTCCTTCGGCGAATGCGGTACAGGAGGTTGGGGGGTGGGAAGGGAACAAATCGTAAAGACCCAAAAGGCTATACGAGAAGAAAAAATTAAAAATTATTATTATTTATTATTAAAATTTGAAATTTCCCAATGAATTTTAATAATTTCAATAATTTACTCATTACAACAACAGGAAAATTCAATGCTTTTCTCATGCATTCATAAGAACTTAAAAAATCACACAAAAATACTTGATTCGAAGAATTTCTATAGACAATAGTTCAATAGAATAATTTGTATTGAAAAATAGAATTATTTTGATTTTTTCTATAGAATATTTTTCATTAACCATTTCTATTTACAAAAAACAGGATAACCTGCCGAATTAGAAAGTTCAATAAAATTTCAATAGAATAATAGGAATCCAATGGAATTTTCTACCGAATTCACTTGGTTTTTCTATAAATTTTCTTCGTACGTGTTATGTATCCAAATGTATGAGGAAGTGAATCGTCGGTCGGAGTTTCCACGGATTCCCCTGGCCTTTCAATGTAAATGGGTTCTAAACTATTGCTTGGACATTCCCGGAGTAGAACGAAATTGTTAGAGGTCTTAAAATGGGTAATGGCTGTGCTTTAATGATACCGAATTGATATAAAAGAGATGTCATCAGGAAAAATCACTCATATAACTGAAGAGATAATAATCGCTGTCCTAAAATTTCATGATCATAAATAAAACGCTATCTCCGGGTTCACGGACCGTTTAGTCCTGAAAGATTCCTCCATTTCCCTTCTTCACTTTATATTGATCGTGGTTGACTGTTTCGTGACAATTAAAATGCCTCTGAAAATCATAAAACAGGTTCATCTTTACAATTGTGCTGAAACTTTTCCAGATATTTGAACTTCAATTAGATTTTTTTAAATAGCCAAAATTAAGGCTGTTACGAAACAAAATAAGTGGGAAATTAATTTCGTCACAACATATTTAATATATTTTTGCTAATCAATTAGCAATTTGCTTCCGATGGAATTTCTGTGACGATGTATTTTAAATTGAATTCAATGACTTATTGAATTCAACATTGTCCCAACATTGACAGCCAACATTGCTCCAACGTAAATATTTTTTACCTTTCTCTGAATATTGGTTTGATAACAAAATTGATCAATAACAGATGCAATCAATCTCACATTGAGAGAAAACAGCAGTTTTCAAACAAGTCTCACTTGTGCCAAACAAGTCAAGTTTTTTTTATTAAAAATGATCAAAAAAGGATTTTTTTTTGCCAAACATGTGAAGCGTGCGCCGAGATTGAAATTTTTTATTGCAAAAATCGATTTAGTCTTTTCAAAAAAATTGAATTCGCTATGCAAGCAAGAATAGTATATTCCATCCCACTCGCATCAAAATATACTATTTTAACAGTGATGCTACGTTCAGCGCGTGGCCGAACTGTACGTTTTTCGTTTACAAGTAGACGAAAAGACTTTTTGTTTACTTTTCGCTTACGAGTAAATGAAAAGGCACTTTTCGACACGGGGTGAACGTAGCAGTAGTGTTAAAATAGTATATTTCAGTACGTGTGGGGCAATTTCGTCTTTAACGTGTGTGGGGTTTACAGAATGAGCTGAAGGTGAGTGATGTAACCACACACGTTAAGGACGAAATTTTCCAACAAGTACTGAACAAAACTTTATGTCACGAAGCCTGAAACCGGCTGAATTAGACACGAGACGCGAAGCGTCGAGTCCGTAANAACTTTTTAGGCCCGCTTTGCGTGCCTAAAACGTCCCTTTTCCGCACATTGTGATGAAAAAAATCGTTCGATACTCGTGGGAAAAGTGTTTTTTGGCTCGTGGGAGGTTTATAGCACGAGCCGAAGGCGAGTAGCGAAATTACTATTTCGTCACTAGGCCACGGAATAGTATATTATGTCATTATTCGATAAAAGTATTATCTGGCAAATGTGGCTTTATAATCCGAGCCGAAGGCGAGAATACTTTTATCGTCGTGTGGCATACAATATTTTTCATCACGCTGTGCAAAAAAGTAACTTTTTAGGCACGCTTCGCGTGCCTAAAACGTCCCTTTTCCACACATTGTGATGGAAAATATCATTCGATACTCGTGGGAAAAGTGTTTTTTGGCTCGTGGGATTATATCATTCGCCTTCAGCTCGTGCTATAAACCTCCCACGAGCCAAAAAACTCTTTCCCGCACTCGTAACGAAATATACTATTATGTCATTGGGCCCGAAAACCCCGATCTAATCGAGCGAAGCGAGGTTAGAATCGCGGTTTATCGGTCCTAATGACAAAACTTTTTTGACGAGTGTAAAGGTTGCAGACCGAGGCGAAACCAAGGAATGCAATCACACGAGTCAGAAAAGTTGTTTTTTGCACAGCGAGATAAAAAAGTGTTTTTTGACCCGCGGGAAGTGTGCACCGCTCGCCAAAGGCCCTCCCAAGGTTCAAAGAACACTTTTCCCACGAGCATTGAATCCTATTTAATCACAAAGTGTGAAAAGTGGGACTTTCCACAAAATTCTAAAATTTCACTTTACGCACAAGTGATGAAAAATTAGTTTTCCTGACACAAAAAATTAGAAATTTCGGATGTGACGAATACAATGCATCCATTCGAAAGCAAAAAAATACTACATCTTTATTAACTTTCCACAACACAATTAGAATCATTATAATTATGGACAATAAATTCAACATTCTGGTGTCTGTTAAAAGAAAACAGCCATGAAAATTTATCTATTAAATTGACCAATGAAAAAGTAATGAATCGTGTGGAAAAAATTTGATAAATTGGGGGGATAAAAATCATTAGCATTTTAAAGAAACAGGTTTTACATGAAAAATTTCAAGGTCAATTCCCCGCGGGTCGTGTAAGCATTAAACTCATCCTGAAAATGAACGAGAAGAGACGGGCCGTCGGGGGGGG